TCATGTAGCCCAATCGGGACTATTCGACGCCAAGCAAGCATACCGCGGAAAAGTTTAGCAAAGAAATGTTTTTTCTCAACTATAAGAAAAGAAGAACAACAACATGCATAACCGCGTGCCGGTGTGCAGAGGGGTCTCCTCACTATGGGTCATGCCGTGCGGTCATCAGAGAGCGGCTGCCCCGCTGATGTGTTTCAGATGACGTATTCCGACCGCCGTGCCGAGCCACGCTGCCCAGAAGCATTTCAAGGAGCCGCCACAGCCAGAGGTCTCCTCGGACAGAAAAGTAGGAAAGGAAAACGATGCAGACGGCGCAGAGAAAAGCACGACAACCCACCGCGTTTCACGAAAAACAAACTGAAGTACGTTTAAGGTGATGTATTGTTATTTTGTTAAAGGAAAACGCGTAATTTAATGGTATGAACATTGAGAAGAAACCTAATGCAGTTTTATGTAAGTCACTATTGAAACGACCCTAGTAAGGGAGAACGGTGACAAAACACTACAAGCATGATTTACCTGTCTCACTTGTTGATATTGGTAATCAACAACTGCTCGGCCAAAAAAACGCATTGCATTTGACGCATTCGACTGGATGAAGTTCATTTTATTTGCCCACCCGGGCATTGTTGTTTTCCAACGCCAAGTGACAAAAGTGAAGTCATACGGATAAATATAATTAATGACAAGTCTAAAGAGGCGAGCATAAAAAAAACGAATACGAAAGGATGCAGAACAAAAGGTAAAAAGAGAAGTGCGCATTCATCTGTTTATACCGAGTCGTTCGGGCGGTAAGAGCGAGCGGGTGAGTCAGAGAGAGAGAAGGAGAGAGAGGATGGCAGAGCAGGGCAGTCGGTATAAGCCCGCAGGTATTCAGGCTTCCCGAGGTGCCGTAATATTTCCAGCTACACACTTCCCTCATTCGCTTTGTGTCACTGCCGCCAGGGAGCGCCACAGACGCGGCCGCCACAGCGAGCGAAAAAGCATATCACCCGTCTCTAAAGAGCACCACAGCATGCAGCAGCAGTCGTGACGGGGAGGGCTTCGCGCCTCGCTCCGACGAGAGTGTCCGGATGAATGAAGAGCGAGAGAGGGTGAGGAAGTGAGCGAGCGGGTGAGAGGGGGACAGAGATAGGGAGAGAGAGAGAGAGAGAGTGAAGGAGAGGGAGAGAAAAGGGGGGGGGGGGTACGGCCCGGTTAAAAAAGGTAGTTACGTGGCTGAAGTAGGTAGGTGAGGTGAGTGGGAGAAGCTGCTAGGGGAGGAGGGCAGTCAAGAGGCAAGGGGCTCGTACACCGACAGCAGGCCCGCTCCTTCGTCCCCCAAGCGCCGTCAGCGGTTTCAGAAACGAGAGCGAAAGTGATACCGAAAAGGGGATAAAGAGGAGTGGAGAGGAAAATAAAAAAGGGAAAAAAGGGGGGGGGGGGCTGGATGGATAAGAGCCTTGTGCAGTTCTAGATTGCCGAAAGTTCACTTATTTTTTTGCACATCATGTGAGAAGGTCCATACGGTACTCGTACCCTGACGCGTGGTCGCATCCACTAAATTGGAACAGGCAAACGCCCGCCGGGGTAGGCAAGCCAGCCGCACACGACGGCACCCCGGGTGCCTACCGCCCGGGCGGGCCGGGCTAGGTCGGGCCAGATGGCGCGAAAGAGGAAGCGGACCGGAGGGCCAACAATTATCCTGCCGTCCCTAATTGTGTTCGATTCATTCCGCCTTGGGAGGAGTGCCCTCTGGGGATGGCGGGGGCGGGGGAGGAGCCGCGGAGGAGGAAGAGGACGCAAAGGATGTACCGCGCTGAACGCAGCCCTGCGCTTTTCACCTCACACAATGTGCGCCTGTGCGGGTGTTAATTAATTTGAAACAAGGGCCCTTTCTCATTCTCTCCCCGCTTTTCACAACTCGCCTATTTCTATTCCCAGCTGTTTCTCTTCTCCCTGCGCTCCTGTCCCGTTCCTCCGACGAAGCCTGTCGCAGAGGCATGTTGAGCTTCTCCGGCACTTCGGAGCAGAAACGGGTTGCAGCAGCGAGTTGCAGGCAGCAAGCTAAGGGGAAATAAACCTAAAAACCGTCTGCGTAACTTTGTGCAGCAAAAACGAATACTTGAACTTGGTTCACAATGGAAAAGATCTTGGTCACAATAATATGCATTGGAAGTGAAAGTGCAGTCGCACATTTAAGAACGCAACCATAAATGCACGATTTGCTTGTGAAAGAAAACTAATTTGCAATTTTACGATAAGTTTGTATCATTAAATTTACCACGGGGAAAACTTTCGAGGAAATAACTCGCACATATATCTCTCACGGCATAAAGGATCATCCAGAAATACGTCCGTCATTCGCCGTTACGATCCTGCCGAGTTGGTCCTCAGCAGGCCGGCAGCAGGCCCTCATAGCACGTTGTAGGTAGGCCACATCGCGCGTACATTGCATGCGTGTATGGCAGGGTAGCCTACCCTCAATCTTGCAGGCGTCAAGCTCGCTGTACTTTAACAGTGGCTGGTAGATCCTTCGTTAGCAGGCGTAGTATTCATCACATATGCCGATTCTTTGGCAGGCAATGCACAGTCGGGTTCGTAGGGCTGGACCACACTAACTTACCCGACCCGGACAAGAAACCACATCCGTCTGCCGCTCGCACCGTTCACACTCGCAAAAGCACTCACCTGAAATCACAGAAAAGGGAGAGGTAAATTAATCACGCGAGAAAGAACGAACTTCCTGCTGAGTCATCACGGCCGTCTGCCCTCCTCCGCACTTGCCAGCACAACAATACGCACTGCGACATGCCGGGACCATTGTAGCACAACATGGCCGCCACAAAATCCCAAGTAAAATGATAAATAAATAATAAAAACCTCGGTGGTTTCCCAGGGCCAAGCACAGCTATGCGACATGGGCTGCAGTACCTCTATGGACATTTATAAGGTAAGGATATGTCTTGACAAGCGCTGCCTAATGCAATTCATTCAGTTTTCCAAGTAAAAACAAAAGGGTTCTTGTAATTAGGCATGTATTTCTTTTGATCAAGCGATTAGCCAACGACTTGTTCTAATTTAACAACAGGTCTTTAACTCATTTGTGTCAATTTAATATATAAACATGATGGAACTAGTCTTAATTTCCCGAACATTTTTGACTTGTGCAGTGTGTTGTCGTCAGGAGTACAAAGACATTCTTCTTACCGTGCCATGCTAACTTTTTTGCGCTGCGAGCAGGCTGGCGTTCTTATCAGTTATTCGTGATCCTCTTCCCGGAGGCTCGGTTTGTTCCTCAACTTTCCTGACCTTGGCAAAGGGCGGGATCTGGCGGCGAGGGGAGGCCCGTGTGGTGGGTCGTGCCGGCGTGGTCTAGGTCCCGGGATATTTGTTTTGGGGATTCTCAAGATTCATTCTGCTCACCTGAGCACGTGGGGAAGGGGGAGTGGGAGGGTTAAAGGAGGGATTAGTCCCTTCGACTCACCCCCCTCTCCCGTGCCCCTCAGCTCCGTGTGCGGGAAGACTTAACCAGCCCGATGTGATCCCCGGGCCTACCACGCAATGCCAGGAACAAAGTGTCGGGGTCTGGCAGCTGGTGCACGACCAGCAGGTGGCGTAGCCCAGTAAGGACAGAGAGAGACGGGTAGGGAGGGAGGAAGGGAGGGAGGGAGAGAGTAAGAGAGGGAGAGAGGGAGGGAGGGAGGGAGAGAGGGCAAGCAATGTGCTTTCTGCTGTTACAGACCAGCAGGAGATGCAGGCGGGCGGGCCGGGTCCACCCCGCGGAGGCGACCACGATGAGGACGAGGAAGAGGAGGAAGAGGAGTCGCCGAGGAGGGTCAAGCGCTGCCGAGAAGCACAGGTACGCACGAAGGGCGCGTAGTTTTGGTTTTATTAATTTTATAACTTAATTACGATTATTTACATGATCAGATCCTGCAGACTCTGGTGTCGGGTCCACTGACAGTAAGGCAGGCGGTGTCGACCAGTCGCTCCTTGCAGGTGCGACGCTCCACATTCACATTCAATATCAATTTAAATAGCCTAACGGCGTCACAGCGTTTTGTGCCAATAATAATGAGTTGCAATCGAAATTCGGAAGGTGTCTTCGCTACCCTCAATTCAAGAGAAGCCGTTTCAAGACAAGAGCGAGTTCTCCGAGAAAGACTTTCCGTCCGCCGAGAGCGGCGCCCCAGGTTTTGCGCCTCCTGCACCTCCCCCACCTCCTTCCGTTTCGCGGCCAACTGGGTGTAAGGAGGTCGCCAGCGCCGGTCCTTCCGGCTACAGGTGGGGTGGTATTCTCTCGTTTTATAATGTTCATAATTTAGTTTCACACTGACTGGAAATTAGAATGTGAACTAAGTATTCATCGATCCGAAAATAAATTAAACGTCTAAAGAAGACGGCAAACCATATCATAATTAAGAGGACAGAATATTATGGTGATGACTTGACCTCTTTTACTTAGCGACAGATAAAGGGCATATTTCATATTTTCCGTATTGCGCAAGCGTTTGGGCCCCCTCAACTGTCGCTGAGATTGTGGGTACCCGAGGCCCATCCGGGGCCGCGGGGTCGGGCTTTACCACCCCACTTTCCGGCAGTGTGCGTCTCGACCCCCAAGCCTGGTGAAATATTTCGCAAGCACGCCCCGGTCTGAAAAATGTTGCAGGTCCCGGCGCGCGGGGCACGCCCTAGTGGGGCACGCCCTGGCGGGGCTCGCCCTGGTGGGGTCCAGCGCGCCTGCCCGCAGCCCACGGCCCGTGGGGGGCGGCCGCCCCTGCCGCGGTCACGTGAGCTCGCCAGGTCCGGCGGGGGTAGCAGGAGCTGCCGAGCCGGCAGAAGTGGCGGGGG